TAATGTAATTTAACTTTATTTGATAAATATAGGGATGTTTGGGTGCTCTAGATGGAATGTATATTAAGGTCAATGTAGCTGCAATCGATAAACCTAGATACAGAACAAGAAAAAATGAAATTGCGACAAATGTACTTGGTGTTTGCACACCAAACATGCAATTCATTTATGTTTTACCTGGGTGGGAAGGTTCTGCAGCTGATGGTAGAATACTCAGAGATGCCATTAGTAGAAGAAATGGTTTAAATGTTCCACAAGGTAAATTATTAGGTCATTAATATATATATATATATATAAGAATGTAAAATTCTTACAAGTTTTGTATATTAATTTACTTTTTAAATTAAAATAATATAGGGTGTTACTACTTATGTGATGATGGATACACGAATGGAGAGGGATTTCTTGCACCATATAGAGGTCAAAGATACCACTTGAATGATTGGAGAGAATGACATCAATCTACCACCCCTCAAGAATATTTCAACATGAAACATTCTCAAGTTAGGAATTGCATTGAGAGATGCTTTGGTATATTGAAAGCGAGATGGGCAATTTTAAGGGAAAAATCATTTTATCCAGTGAAAACACAATGTAGACTCATTTCAGCTTGTTGTCTTCTCCATAATTTCATAAGATTTGAGATGCCAATCGATCCTATTGAATCTGACTATACTGAAGATAGTAGGCATGTTGAAGAGATTAATGAAGTAGAAATGATCAGACATTGTGAGCCAAGCAGTGCTTGGACTGAGTGGAGAGACAAATTAGCAGAAGATATGTTTACTAGTTGGTTGGCGTCACGTACTTTAGGATAGATGTTATTTTATGTTATGTATGACTTCCATCTTCTATTTTATCTAATGTTAATGGTCATTACTTTCATGTATTTGACATCTTTATATTTTATGGCATAAACTTTATTAAATTTTATGTATTTCTCTTCTATAAAATTCGAATTTTATTTGTTATGGACATTCATTACTTATGTCATTCACTACATTTGATTTATATTATGTTACTATTTTAAATTTCTTTTATGATTAGTATTGACAATGATGACATGTTTTATGTTATACAATTTTTATATACATATTCTTAGATTATTTCGAAGAGAAATATGTCAACATCAAATATGGAATCTCAAAGGGGGGGAAAACCGCCGACATCTAAAAAGCCTAAGTCTTTAGTAACTAAAAGGACATGGACTAAAGAGGAGGATGCTGCACTTGTTGAATGTTTATATATTTTGGCTGAAGACCCACATTGGAAAGCTGATAATGGAACATTTAGATCAGGTTATCTATCTAATCTTGAAAAGATGTTAGAAATCAAGCTTCCAACATCACAAATGAGGGCCCATCCACATATTGAATCTAGAGTGAAGCTACTCAAAAGACAATACAATGCTTTATCTGAAATGCTGAATATTGGAAGTGGATTAGGTTGGAATGAAGAAGAAAAACGTTTAACTGCACCAAAATATGTGTTTGATGATTGGGTTAGAGTAAGTATTTTAATTTAATTTATCTTCTTTCTATACTCTTTGTTATCTATTTAGCTTTGTAAGATTTATTAAATTTGCGATTTTATTATATTGTAGAGTCATCCAATTGCTGCTGGATTGAGAAACAAGTCATTTCCATTCTTTGATGACTTTGTTCATATATTTGGAAAAGAAAGAGCTACATGAATAGCAGCGGAGACATCAGCTGATGCAGTGGAACATATTGATGTTGAAGACAATGCATTTATAGATGCATTACTTGAAGAAGAGGGAGTAAGAGATTCTGAATCAAGAGAGGATATTGGTGCTTCAACTTGCCAAACATCTGATGCTACTGCCTCTACCCCTAAAATGAAAAAAGTAGCTAGCAAGAAAAGGTCTCGAAGTGATGATGGGTTAACCGAGCTTGTACAGGAGATAAGTAAGTTCGGTGCTGCATACCGAGAAACTGCCAAAGAAATTAAGGATATTACTGCTTTATTGAAAAAGGAGGCAGAAGGAAATGATCAAAGAATGTCGATTTTCACTGAAATCATGAAAATTGAAGGACTGTCCACTGATGAAATGCTTACTGCAGGAGAGTATATTAGCAAAGATGCGCACAAGGTAGATTTTTTCTTTTCTTTGCCAAAAGAATTCAAGCAAGATTATGTGATTAAGCAAATGGTTGAATGTCGTCAATTTAGACCATCAATTTGACTGTCGTCATTCTACAATTATGTCGATCTCTTTTTGATTATGACTTTAGAATATGGTCCTAACTTTTTTGTGTAGCTTAGCCAAGTATATGTCAATCTTTTGACTTGAAGAATTTTGTGTGTATATAATATAGCCAACATATATGATTATGTTTAGAATGTCATGGATATTATCTTTTGTAAGTCTGAACATTGTACAATCTTTTGATGGTTAATATTATACTTCTTTTTGTTATATAGTATATGAGTTGCAAGTAATGTGCTAGTTTTCGAATATGTTAATTACTTTTGATAGTTTTTGTTATGTAGTAAAAACCTTGTCTTTGATAGTTAAGAGTTATCGCTTTCTTGTGTGTCACAACTTATCGGTAGTGAATATTAGAAGTCTTGGAGAACTGCAGGCATTTGTTCGTATTTCTGTAACTAAAACAGTGTTGCTCTTGCTGGTGATCGTGACTCTGAGTGGGTTAGATCTATTTTGAAAGAAGTTGGAGGTGCTAATGATGGGTTCTTTAACATTTTTATATTAAACGGTGATTCTCATAACATGACCTACTGCAGTGCTGCTACTTTTTGTAGCCGAATACTTCCCTCTGTAGATTGGCATGAGTCTGTGAATAAATTTTACTTATTTATTTTATCATCATAAAAGATGTGTTTGGTCATGGATGAGTCTGATTGTTAGTACACAAAATGGTTGCTCGACATGTTGATATCTTTGCTTCTGCTCCAGTATTTCCTTATCTTTCAGGAGAGTTGTAATTTTACAATTGATTACATGAGTTGCAGACCGAAAATTGAGGATTATTAAGAACATTATATTATATTTTTGTGAATGATAAATAGTAAAGTAAGAGTTGTTGAGCTACATTTGCAGGAAGCAATCTAGTAAAACCAAATAATCTCCCTTGAATCGAACCTCTTGATTTCCTCCTCCGCCAACTAACTGAGAAGAGAACCTTGAATCCATCAATTAATTCATTTGTTTGAGTGGAGAACTAGCCAAGAAGAATCAATTGGTTTTGCAATAGTTCCCAATCCATGCAAAGCATGCACGTAGAAGCATTTCAAATTTCTCGTTCCCATTCATTTTCATTTTCTTTAAATTTATCCTTTAATGTTACATTTTATGCATGTTAACCTTGCGGCAAAGATGTCAATCACAGTATCATGAATCTGCTTCATTTCTTATAATTTTTTGCTTTTGCCTAATTTAGTTCACTTTTGAATGTTAAATGAAAAAAAAGTTTCCTGCCCCTGCCGTGGGTTCAATCAGTGGGTTAGATCTATTTTGGAAGAATTGTTGTGAGCAACTTCAAAACCAAAACCAAACATTGAAATATGAAAAATCGGATGAGCAAGTTCATTTTAGGTTCTTTGTTAATAGGGTCTTTAATTCGATCAATCGAACCAATTCAATTGAGAGTCGGCTGATCTAGTGGTTATAAAATTGGAAATCCGAAGAACTGTACTTAAAAACCAAAAATTGAAATAAAAAAAGACGGATGAAAAGTTATTTTATGGCCGAGTTAAGTACAAATCAGATTAGGACTGAGTATTATTGGGTTGCTTGCTTTTCGTAATCAAGAGTTAAGTACAAATTAGATTAGGACTGAGTATTAATAATTTTATTAAAATATTAGCAAAGATAATGATGAATGACGGTGAAATATAAAATTATAGACAATATGATTTTTAATGTTATATTTTCTTACTTATTTGAATTATGTTTTTGTAATATAAATTAATGATAAATAATAATGATAAAGTATGCAGAATTAAGTATAAATATAAAAGATAAATAAATAAATAATTGTATATAGAAGATATAATAAATATTATATCTTAGATAACAAAAATAATTTACATTTTATTATTATTATGAATATCTATGAAGAATTTCCACAATGTAAATATTTAGTTAAATGTTGATGTAAAATTTTAATATATTTTTACATAAATTATGTAAAATTTAATATTAATTAAAATTAAAATAATACATGATATATTTAAATACTCAAGTAATATATTATCAACAAATAGAATTTTTATATAAATAATTTTTATTTAAATATTTAGAATTTCACTTGTTAAAAAAACAAATATAGAACAAGGACAATTTGATAAAATATACATTCTAGTAATATTTTATTCCTCCAACCAAACACTGTAATCTTACATTCCTGCCAAACCAACCAAACACAGTAATGTAACATTCCCAGTAATCCTATTCCCTAGTAATCTTTTATTCCTGTTGGTAATCTTACATTCCGTGAACCAAACGCACCTTTAGGTGTCTAAAGTATTTTCTGATCAAAATAAATATTTAACATTTTCGATGTTATTCTTTTAAATGCTTCCATCGTAATGACAATTAAAAAATTGTTGACGTGTATCGTGTTTATAATTTATTTTAAAAAATGTTTGTTTAAAAGAACTTAAAGTTATATAAATATTTAAATAAACCCTAAATTTCTCTAAAATCATAAAAAATACTCCAAAACCTTAAATTTCTCTAAATTTAAAATAAACTCCTAAATTTCAAAACCCCGTCACCCGTTATTGTAGGTCCCCACTCCCCACTGCTAGTGTCGTCGTCACCAAACAATCACCCACCCATTACAGTCTCCTCCAATGGGTGCCGATGCCGGTCCCACAGTCCATTCTTCTTTTGAAATTCCCCTGCCTGTAGAACTAATGCCTCCCGATTATTTTGCTCTGATCACTTCAAGAGGCTCTCAACAGTACCGAACCCTGACAGCTCCCGAGCTAACTCAGCAAAGACGTAAAAAAACATGATGTGTGCTGCTGATCCACGACACAGCCGATACTTGTGTGCATCAGCCCGTGGCAAAATGAGCAGTAAGGAAGTAGATGAACAAATGTTGAATGTTGAGAACAAGAAGTCATCATGGATTCATAACAACGTGAAGTCAACAGTTTGTGATATCCCACCCACAGGCCTCAAAATGGCGGCGTCGGCATTTGTTGGCAATTCAACATCCATACAGGAGATGTTTAGGCGTGTGAGTGAGCAATTTACATCTATGTTTAGGAGGAAGGCTTTCTTGTACTGCTATACAGGAGAAGCCATAGATGAGTTCACCGAGGCTTGCTCTGTCAGCTAAGCATGCTCAGTTTATCTCAGGCATAATGATAAAAATATCCGGGTTATTTTGTCTCTTATTCTTTTTTTTAAATATTTATCAAATATCTCTCAGTAAAATTAGATGTGCAACACAAATCGATCCGAATTAATCAGGACAAACCCTGGAAAACCGGAAGGATAAGGAAAAATAAAAGAAAGAGGATAATTCTTCTGCAATCTTTTATCTCCATATCAAGGAGGATGATCTTTTCCATCTGGAACCCAGGGAGGATTATCATCATTGCTTTCATCTTTTTTTTTTGCTTAATGAACCAATTATGTTACTCAAAAACTTCATTTTGTAAGAAATATCTCATGTCTGAAATTCAAGAATCCTTAAATATATGAACAAATACACAAATGATTTATTGTTAAAATATACACAATATCAGGGTGTAATAATGTTTTATATTAAAGAAAAATGAATTTTGAAGCCAAAATCAATAAAAAAAAATGATATTTTCGGTAGCTAACTTCATGATCTATCACCCTCTATCTCTCTACCTGCTTCCAGTTTTATCTTTTAGTCCTTTTTCTCCCCCCTTAATCTTCATGTCTTACTCCATTAATGGCGTGATGTTGGACTCTTTGATCCACCCAAGCTGTCCAGATAAGATATCTTCTTGCCAATCAGCACGTTTAGCTTCTGCAAGTTCTTTGGATCAATTTCTTTGGTTGCCTCTGCTACTGGCTCTGCTTGTTCTTCACTCTCATTTTGATCACCCCAAGTAAGTAAATCCGAGAGGGTCATCGTCGAATCATCTCTGGTCATTGCAGGCTTCCTTTCCTCTTTTAAAGGGTTCGATTCGGTCGCAAGAAAATCGGCTTGGATGACATCTTCGATTCGGGATAGAACGGTGTGTGCCAAACTTTCCAGTATTCTTGAATAGCTCTCTAGGACAGCCTGCCCTACATCCTGCAATGCCAACACACAATTACCTTGTATAACACCAACAAAACTCACAATGTTTAGTTCGAAATGTTGGTCCATCGGCCGGAGAAATTACCTTGTTGTACTCGATTTTGCTGATGTCTAGTGAAGATTGAGGGAGTCCCGGGAACCTATGCTTGATAAGGTGTAGGATGATCTCAACTCTTTCCTCAAACAGTTCTCTTTTCTCAATGCTAACACCAGAGCCCCATGATTTCCCATCCTTTTGGTGCATTTTCCTCTTCCAAATCACTATAGATGCCTCAATCCTATTCTTGAGGTCTAAAATCTTGTGATCAGATGAGAGGTCCATACTGGAAAGAAATTGATCCGGATCGAAGAATTCGTCTGTGATGCTCTTATAGATCGAATCACCGAGACTATCTCTCCCATTCTAACAATGCAACACCAAAAGAGCCGATGTGAGAATTGAGTGGTGCAAACCCGAGGTTCGAGAGAGTTTCGGCTACTTTACCTTAGGGAGGGATTCAATGTAGCTTTCAGGGATATCCATCTCTGACAGGAGTTGAGCATTGATGGCCATTGCTGCTTTAAGAACTTGAGTTACACATTCCTTTTGAACCTGCAGATTCTTCCTTGCTGCTTCGGATAGACCGCCCGGGCGAACTTTAACAGTAGGCAGCCACCATTTATCATCCTTTCTCCTTCCTTCGGAGTCCGGGCATCTTTCGACAGGTAATAGAATTCAGTCTGGTCCTTGAAGGTATCCAGACCATCCTGCTCACCATTGTTAACTTCAAATCAGACCATCCTATAAGCTGCAATGAAACAACACAACATACAATGCAGATCCATGTCCTTACAATAAGCATTCTATCAAGTGTCTTCAGGGCAGGAATGTTCATAAGAAGATCTTCTCGTTGCTTGGTGACCATTATCTGAATAAGTCAAGAGAATTAAACTTCGTAATTACGTGTTCGAAATTTCGAAGTTATATTCGGGCTAAGAGATACCTCCATGTCCGTACCATCCTTGCGTTTTTGGTGAGAAGGAACTAATTCAACAATGTGATCAGTCACAGACAATAGCCAGTTCATTTCTTTTCTCCACCTTGCTTTCCTTTCAGGCGACATAGGTTCCAAGCGTGATTGTTCACCAAAAACAGATGCTGAAACCAATTATCAATACGAATTCGATAACCCTTTACGCCCTCGATGTAAAATTCGAATCTTCGATGTGTCCGATATGAATATATTCTGTAATAAGAGAAGTAAGAAAGTACCAGCAAGATTTGTAATAGCATTTGAGAGTGCTAAAGCTGATGAAACGCCGGTCCCTCCACCTGACATATCCTCGCCCAAGAGTAATTTAGCAAACTTTTCCTTCATCTGCTCCATATCTGAATAAAAATCTTGCCAAATTTTTACAAAAACTTTGCTATCCGGACTCGGACTTCAGTTTCAGTTTCAGATCATATCAGACATGTTCAAATATACAAGAGACACAAATATTAAATGAAAAATCCAGAAAGAAAATCAAAATCGGATAACATAACAAAAACAAGCCAGAGCTGTTTTCTTGTTTAATAACAATGTGTAACGTATCATGATTTCCATTTACTTCAATCAATCATGTAAGAGAAAATCAAAACAATTATAGATGATCTAATATATATATATAGATGGAAATAAGTAGGTTCGGTCAATCGTGGACAATTTATTCTTCTAATTTAGATGGAAAGTTGTAATCACCTAGTCAGTGATAGAATGAAAGTTAATCAGTAATTCTTGAGAGAAATGACAAGAAAGGTATCATGAGAGAGGATGTGAGTAATGCATATGAGAGAGCTGCTAAAAGAAATAGAGAGAAGTCCTTTCTTCACCCTTTTCTCAGGTATTAATACCTTAACTATAAGATGATCGGTGTCAAATTTAATATCATCATGCATATTAATAGACAGTCAAAATTTATGTCAAGGACATAGAAAAATATAGACTCTATAGTATTAAATTACGATCACGATAGTAACATATAACGATTGCATCGTAACGTTTTTCAAGGTCAACGCGACACATAAATTGCATCCACAACATAAAAACATAGTTGTTTTTAGGAAATAAATCATGTCGTAACATACGTAATACCTACAACCGTAAAACCTCAATCGTAATCGTAACCATAATTTAATACTGTGATTGACTCCAATAAACGATCCTGATATTATAGTGTCTCCAAAAAAAAACCTTTGGAAGCTCTTGAAAATTTTCAGATGTCTTTATTAGCAAAAATTTGATAGTCTGTGGAGGTCGACACCACAGATATAACAATATGAATATATATATATATAATGAAACTTGCCGTGTAATAGCTGCTGTTCTCTGACTCGGAAGGCAGCGACCATCTCTTCAAAGGCATCATGATCACCTTCATCCATAGCCACCTCTTCAAGCTTAGTAGCACTGCCGATACTCAAACTCTTGGCGTGTCTGCCTTTCTTCTCCTTTGAACCCCTGAAATTGAAAAACCCTAACGGCGACTTGTTATTACCCTCTTGTTCTTGTTCATGTTCAACAGCAGGAACCATTGTTCAACCTCTGCTAAACAAAAACGAAGAACAATCAAACTGGAAGTTCAAAAATAATAATAAATATAAATAATATATATGTTGTTGGAAAAAACAAACGAAGTCACTTCTTTGAAATGAGATCTTGTATGTGGGAGAGGGGGGATTTTAGTGAGTTTGTGTTTGCCATTAATGGTTGAAACTGAACGTGGAGTGCATGTTTTTCTGTTGAGAATAAATTTTTAAAATTTAGATTATTTCTACACGTTGAAATGGTTTTTAGGCTGATTTTTAGTGGAAAGGTCAAAGCTGCCGCTGAAAACAAGGGAGGATTGAGGATTCATTAAGACAAAGAGAATAATAGCAAAATCTTTTTTTTATTAAACTATGTTGTAAATAGGTGCTCGAATCCATTACCTCTAGAAACAATAATAATTTCTTTAATTACTAATGTAAGTTGGTTTGTGCGTAATTTTTTTTAATTTTACAGGACTATTATAATATATAATATTTGTTTAGAATTTTTTTAATTATCGACAACACACATACTATATAAATGTATATGCTCGAATCAAAAATAGATGCACTGAGTAAACCAAGTGCATACTCATTATTTTTGATAAATTATTAAATACTGTCCAATATATTATGAGAAGAAGAAAAATTGCGTACTCATTTTGTTGACAAAAAGGATATTAAAATTTTTCACCTCCTAATTTTATATTTTTGGATCCGTCCCTAATTCGAAATCAAAACTTCTAGAGAGGATAATATTCTTATATAATAACTACTAAAGCCACTTGATAACAATATCGTTTCTATTATGCGTACCTAAACTTTCCTCAAATGTTAACTGCCCCTTAACCTACCATATGGGTGCTTATGATTTGTTGTAAATTTTGGAGTTATAATGTTAAAATTCGTCCTCCTTAATAATTAGAGTAAATTATATGTTTAATAGCTAAACTATTACTTTTGTTCCATTTTGGTACTTAAATTTTATTATTTTAAAATCATATCTAACGTTTAAATTAAGTTTCATTTTGATACCCTGCCATTGAAAACATAACGGTGATGTTGATGTGTCACGATAAGGTAATGTCATATCATCATTGAAAAAAAATTCACGTCAGTCGTTTTGTTAACAATAAGGTACCAAAATGAAACATAAACTAAATATTAGGTATTCTTTTGAAAAATAATTAAGTACTAAATAGAACAAAAAAATAATAGTTTAAGTACTTAAACGTGCAATTTACCATAATAATTATATTATTTCTTGTTAATCACTTTAGTTTTCAATACCACTTTGGATCAAAATAATTTTGTAATGGAAGTTAATTGATGAACAATCCACATTTATTGTTAACTAAACAAATTCATACGGATTAAAGTAATGATGTAACATGTCCACATATGATTAAGAAACTCCCTACATAATATCACATAAATGAAAAGTATTTATTAAATTAATTATAAATACAATTATTATTAAATAATTAACTTAATAAATAGTTTTTTATTG